GCCTTGGTCAGAGGTGACAGTGATAGAAGGAGCTGAAACGTTCGGCATCATAGTCATTGCACCGAGAGTGACAGGTGTGTCCAACTGGGATACGCTGGTGGCCGCAGACTTGCTAGAGCTAGCATCAGACTTTGAGCCGATTTCAACAGTCTTCAATCCGCCCCCAACCTTGACGACTTGAGCGCGGGCTTGCACGGTTGCGGTGTTGAGGAAGGTTGAGCCGACACTGAAGGCACTGGCTGTGCTGTCCGGTCGGTTTCCAAATTTGCCGAAGTTGATGTGCGGTACAGGAGGCGGTGTAATATCTGGGGTTCCGTTGGCGCCCTTCACACTGACGATCGAAGGCTTCACCCGCATGCCTGTCTGACCAGGAGCCATAACTTGTGCCTGCTTGCCGTAGATGGTTGACGCAATGCTCGAACGGGGCGCATATGAAGCGTGTGTCGCATACGATGCGCGATCAGAATATCCAGAAAGGCCAGAGTAGGTCGAGTCTCGGAGATCTCCTGGCATAAAGAAGTGTTGATCTTCGTTTGATGAGTCTCTGGTTCCACCAGTGTGTTGGGCCGGAATCGGTGGGACTGGAGGTACAAGGCTTCCCCCAGAAGATGGATTGGCCCGGTTCGTGACTCCTGGGATATAGGCAATTTGAATAATGTTGGAGGCTCGGGTGAGGACGGTAGAGGCAATGGAATGAACGGTGTGCGTTGACGAGCGGCGGGTTAATCGAGATGCACCGTCCTTCTCCGAGTCTTGTGAAGGGTTCGCTCCCACATCGTATGTCGACATCATCGAACTCTCGGCCCTTCTAGGTTTGATCAAGAATCTCCACGCGAGATATGTCAGAACAGCAATAAAGGCGACGCCGCCCACAACACCACCGGCGATGGCGCCCGTGTTGGGACCGGAGGAAGTTGTGGTAGTCGTTCCTGAGTCAACGCATACTGCTATACTGGCTGAGGAGCAATCAGTCGCAATTTGGTATTGGCATTTCTGGTTACTCTCGCATTTGGGACATTCGAGGTTGGTGCCGGTTTCGTATTTGTAGCATCCGGTATCCCCTCGGGGAAGCATCGCGACAACTAGATACCATGTTAGGATGAACGGAAAATGAATTATTCAACGAGGGTGACCTACGTTCGTGGTACTCCTCCAACGTCCTGGCATAGACGAAGGGCGTTTCAATCATCATGGCGGCGAGAGGCGTATTTCCGTTTTCAATAGAAATAGAAGTCGCGAGTGACTGTCGATATATGGCTGGGCGTTAAACTAATGCCAATGAGAGACGATGTGTTGTTTATCCAGTTGTGGTAAGGTTGAAGGTATTCCCAATGATTGATGATCGGGATCGGCGGATCTGCTGGTGTTGACAAGGCGGAATGAATATCAAAGTAAATGAGACTTGGTTGCGAGAACGAGTGGATTCAGAGACGAGCTCGGACGATAGATTGGAGGCTGCTTAAACCATGAAGGACGGAGACATCATCAACAGTGCCCGGTATCAAGGAATACGAGCGCAGACGACGTCGGGCGGTTGATGCAGAAGGAGAGCGGTTGGGATCGTCTGCGAAGCTGGTGGAGATGGAGAAGGGCGAGTCGAGGTGTGAGAGGAGGCAACGGTGGCGAGGCACCAAAAATCGAGACTCGACCAACTTACACACGCACGCACGCACGCACACGCAGGAAGACAGGAACAGACAGGCCCAATAAAGCTGGTGGTGGGCGGGAGAGAAATGGGTGCTCACAGTAGAGCGAAGGGGAGCCTGATCTCACAGCCGATGGAGCACAATAGGACCAGGGGATGTAGCCACTAAGCACCGTTCGGCTCTAGCGAAACAATCTCAACGGATGCCAAGCCCAATACAGTGCTGCAAGGCCATCCAACACGGCCTGCAAGCCAACGCTAGGTGACCACTGAGGGGGCAGCATTGCAGCGGGCCCCATTGTTCCAGACCCCAGAGGCCACACAGGGCCTGCAGATGTGCGTGGCATTGACCCCCTGATGCAGGTTGGAGACGGTACACTAATACTCGCACTGTCTTTGATTCCACCCCTTTTCTTGCAGAAATCCTTCCACTGACGGGTGGAGTTCACCATGCCTAGACAACACGAGCGGCATCGTCGTCGTAGAGTTAGGTAGGTCGAGAGCACAGAGCCTCTGGCGGCGCAGTGTCCACTCTTTGACAGATTTCTTGGACAGACTCATGTTCTGCATTGTGGTCGGAAGAGCCCTCTCATCCGTCGGTCAGCAGCCCAGCATGGGTCAAATGGCGTATAAGCACGCACCCTCACCCTCCCACCCAAGTACCTACCTTTCATGGTAGAACCTTGCGGGGCGTAGCAGTTCCATCCTCAATGGTGTAGGGGGAGTTGCACTGTGATAATTTGGGCATGCAGCGAATCACATTGCGACTGGTCACTTTTCCTCTGTTTTGCCGTTCAAGAGCGAAATTATCTTGGGTGGCGCTGTCTGTGGAACGTGTGAGTTTCTCAATCCAGTCCCGTCCGACGCCGTTAGGTAAGCAATATTCATGCTTACCCCCGGGATGGGTTGGCTCCACCGCTCTCCGCCCATAACTGTTCTTAAGCCCACGTTGGAGTGGCTTCTGTATTCATGTCGACGACGCGCTGCATCAGGTCATCTCGGATCCAACCAGCGGTGGCATAAAGGACTTCCTTTTCAATATATCCCTTCATATTACAATATGCAGCCGATGTTATAGTAGCACTTTTGAGAGGTTTAACAATCATAACCCCTGAAGGAAAATCTACCACCAATCTTCGGAGCAGGAGCTGGTGCTTATGATTGCTTGGTGATGAATCGTAATCGGTACCCTTCTGATGGGAGTTGGTTGACGCATTCTTCCGAAGGTAGATAAATAATTCCAGCCAGAAGGGTACTGCATAGCATAACACCATTCATCTACAAGCAATAGCAGCATCAGATGCTACTGTGAAGGTTGATACGGTTGTCCTTCGAGATGATGCCCGCAGCTAAAGTCATGCCAGGAACCTTGTTAACATCACCACGAACTTGCTTGGTCTCGTTGGCACCTATGCAATTCTCCCTGTTGTGAAACATCCAGCATCTTGTCAAATTATCGTCGGTGGATAACAAATACGATATTGAGGTTGTCACTAGAAAGAAGATCGCCAAGTCTTTACCCATTACAGATCAGACCAGGGCATAGGCTAACAAAGCCCGAGGGAAAAGTCAAGGAAGACCCGTAGAAGTCGCTGTCCCCGATGTGGCGATGCAATTGTGGCATGCGATGGATGGGAATGTGTACTCGTATATAGTTTTTTTCTGCTTGGGTTGATGTTGCGCCTCATCCCCGATATGTCATACTTTCTCGGATTGCTCTCGACGAAAACAAAGATGAACAAGTGGCTGAGCATGGCATAGGGCAGAGAATTGAAGATGAGGCAAATGCACAATCCTCAAATTAAAACGCTGGCTGACCGTGGAACTTAGCTCACGAAAAGGAGGCGCAGGCAAGGAAATGAGTTACGAGAAGTACCTCAGTAGTGCTGCGCTGGGGGCTGGACTCTTGCCCGTAGTGGCTATTCTAGTCACTGGCGCCTCCGCTCACGAAACACAAGCCGTAACTCTCCAGATCCGACCGACATGGTTGCTATTTTTGAACCACTAGCCCCCTCCCAGTGCCCAGTCAAGATTGGTGGTGCTACGTAGTATATACCTGGTGTGGATCGCGCAGTCTGACAGTCAGCACATGGATGAAGTACATCTTTGAGAGGGGCCTGGGCTGCCAGCTGGATGAATCGGCCCAGTTATTTAGCAGCAGCACACCGCGACATTGGACTGCACCTCTACGTGGTGGTGCATCTCGTAACGCAGATCGTCATCGATACTTCAATTCCCGGCCAGATCAGCGTATGAGAATATGTATCTGTTACCCCTTGATTTCCCAGCCAACGAGAGGGTCTGAACATGTGCAGGCACGACATCGCAAGTCACTCGAAGAGTCTAGTTGTGAATGCTTCGCGAACGGTTCTGTCAGCTTGCTGTGGGACTTGCTTGCTCTCACATTCGACCCAGCTGGTTTTTGTGCCCATTTTCAGCAGTCGGTAAGGCGCCAGGCCATGACTTCTGGCAATCGCGAATCGGGTGGACCAGGCGTACGTAGGTACGATAGAGGCCATTCGTCATGTGTGTCGTTATCGCTTCCACTTCTTTGCCTGCCAGTACTCGCCGGCTCTTGGGCTTGCGAGGCGGCACACTGCGTGAACTCTGCCGCCAGCATGAATTCGAGATGGCTCCCGACGTACATCCACGGACGGGGCAAGGCAGAAGGGGGATGGTATGCACCGTAGGTTGGCCAATTGCCTTCACAGGCGGTCGAGATCAAGAGAGCTATTGCTGATCTCCCCCGCTTGGGGCGAAGGGAGGAAAAGAGGCTGGAGGCTGTCTACCACTAGTTGCTGTACGAGTGGCTCAGCTGGTGAGCTGGAGGTCGGCCTAGGGACTGCCTGCATACCAGGTCCTACGCGGTGAGCATTGTCAGCTTAATACATTGGTACATGACAGATGCCGAGCACACCAATCATCTAGGGGGCTCAGCTGCAGTTAGCGTGGGTGGCCGTCGTGTGGCCCCAGCCCAGCCCAGTCCCCTATTCCTTGAATCGCAGACCCCGTTCTGCTGAAACGGAGCTGTTGCTAAATTTCAGGCCCTCAAAAGTAAATCACCCTCCCATCCATCCTTTTTCGTGCTTCCACCATCGATTCTGGATCTCCAGATCTGCTGCTCTTCCCCTTCTTCCACGACATCTTCACGTTGCCGCTACGTTGAGGCTGGAGCCTCGGTGCACGCGTTGCTTGTCTTTGTTTCAGCTTTTCGGGGCTCTCCACACAGCACCCTCCCACTCGCTCACTCCTTTTTTTCTACCGACCACGATAGGAGCAGATTTATTCCACATCCTAATACCCAGTTGACGACACACAGCAAATACAGCACGCCGAACGGGATACATCACCAATCATGGCGTACAATGGCCAGGGCCGCGGCCATGAATATGGAGGACACCCAATGCAGGATCTCCCAGCTGGTAGCAGCGTGAGTAGCGGCGAAATGAAGCTATACATCCACCATTCGCAGCTTGCCCTAACCTTCTCTGCCCACAGTACCATCTTCCCCAGCAAGAACATGACGAAGAGGCCGGCCGCCATCTCCTGAATGACCCTCGTATGGGAGGGGGTTACGAACAGGACAGACTGGGCGCCACTACCCCTCCAGACCGACCAGTCTCTGCTTACAGTCTCACCGAGTCGTATGCTCCCGGTGCTTCGAACGCACCTCCTGGCACAACCGGCGGCTTCCCTGACCCAGGCTACGGTCAGTACGCAAATGCTGGCCACGACATTCATCGTCCCGCCTCCACATTCGAGGACGAGGAGGACAACTGGCTGCAGCGTCAACAACAGCAGCAGCTCAGCTCTGGCTCACGTAGCGGTGGCTTGAAGCGTTTCAACACCCGTAAGATCAAGCTTGTCCAGGGCTCCGTTCTGAGCATCGACTATCCCGTCCCCAGTGCCATCAAAAATGCGGCGCAACCACGATACCGCGATGGAGAGGCTGGCTCTGAGGAATTCTCCAAGATGCGATATACCGCTGCCACTTGTGACCCCAACGAGTTCACACTCAAGAATGGTTACGATTTGCGTACTCGCATGTACAACAGACACACTGAGCTTCTGATTGCCATCACATACTACAACGAAGATAAGGTCTTGCTCGCAAGAACTCTTCACAGTGTGATGCAGAACATCCGCGATATTGTGAACCTCAAGAAGTCCACTTTCTGGAACAAGGGTGGACCTGCTTGGCAGAAGATTGTTGTATGTCTTGTCTTCGATGGTATCGAGAAGGCTGATAAGAATACTCTTGATGTTCTGGCTACCGTTGGTATTTACCAGGATGGTGTTGTCAAGAAGGATGTCGACGGCAAGGAGACTGTCGCACACATTTTCGAGTATACTACCCAGCTGTCTGTCACACCCAGCCAGCAGCTGATTCGACCTGTCGATGATGGTCCCCAGACGCTCCCACCCGTCCAGATGATCTTCTGCTTGAAGCAGAAGAACACCAAGAAGATCAATTCTCACCGTTGGCTCTTCAATGCCTTCGGCCGAATGCTGAACCCTGAAGTGTGTATTCTTCTTGACGCTGGTACCAAGCCCAGCCCTCGCTCGCTTCTGGCCCTGTGGGAAGGTTTCTATAACGATAAGGATCTTGGAGGTGCTTGCGGTGAAATTCATGCTATGCTGGGCAAGGGTGGCAAGAAGCTCTTCAACCCTCTTGTCGCCGTCCAGAACTTTGAGTACAAGATTTCCAACATTTTGGATAAGCCCCTCGAGAGTTCTTTTGGATACGTCAGTGTGTTGCCTGGTGCTTTCTCTGCCTACCGTTTCAGAGCTATCATGGGCCGCCCGCTGGAACAATACTTCCACGGTGATCATACTCTTTCTGCACAACTTGGTAAGAAGGGTATTGATGGTATGAACATCTTCAAGAAGAACATGTTCTTGGCCGAAGATCGTATCCTGTGTTTCGAGCTTGTGGCAAAGGCCGGCCAGAAATGGCATCTGTCTTATATCAAGGCTGCTAAGGGTGAAACCGATGTGCCCGAAGGTGCTGCTGAGTTTATCAGCCAACGTCGAAGATGGTTGAACGGTTCGTTTGCTGCTACCCTCTACGCCTTGATGCACTTCGGCCGAATGTACAAGAGTGGTCACAACATTATCCGGATGATTTTCCTCCACATTCAGCTCATCTACCAAATCCTCAACGTCATCTTCACCTGGTTTTCGCTCGGATCTTACTATCTCACAACGGTCGTCATCATGAACCTGGTCGGTGTTCCCGATATCGTCACGGGTGCTCACGCCTGGCCCTTTGGTGACACTGCTACTCCCATTGTGAACACAATCCTTCAGTATCTCTATGTGGCGTTCGTTGTTCTGCAGTTCATTCTGGCTCTGGGTAACCGTCCCAAGGGTTCCAAGTTCACCTACATCGCATCATTCATGATCTTCGCCATGGTTCAGCTCTACATCATCTGCTTGTCAGTCTATCTCGTTGTCCGTGCCTTTGACAAGAAGTCATTGTCGCAGCAAGTCAGCTTCGCCTCTAGTGAAGACTTTGTTCGCAGTTTCTTCACCGGAGCCGACGCTGGTGGTGTTATCGTCATTGCCCTTGTCACCATTTACGGTCTCAACTTCTTGGCCTCGTTCATGTACCTTGACCCGTGGCACATGTTCCACTCGTGGCCCCAGTACATGCTTCTCATGTCCACCTACATCAATATTCTCATGGTGTACGCTTTCAACAACTGGCACGACGTTTCTTGGGGTACCAAGGGTTCCGACAAGACCGAGGCCTTGCCATCAGCCAACATCAAGAAGGGTGACAAGAACGAGACAGTTGTCGAAGAAATTGAAAAGGAGCAAGAGGATATTGACAGTCAGTTCGAGCAAACTGTCCGTCGTGCCCTTGCTCCCTTCAAGGAACAGGAAGAGATTGAGAAGGAGGATCCCGAAGATGGTTACAAGTCTTTCCGTACTGGCCTGGTCGTGACCTGGTTGTTCATGAACATCCTCCTCATTGTCGCTCTTCAGGCTGACTCATTTAATAACTTTGGTGTTGCTGTAAGTTTCCCCTTTGCACTCGGCATCACTATTTTCGCTAACATACTTTCCACAGGGCGATTCGCAATTCCGTACCATGCGCTTCTTCCAGCTTTTGCTTTACGCCACTGCCATCCTTTCATTGGTCCGTTTCTTCGGTTTCCTCTGGTTCTTGGGCAAGACAGGTCTCATGTGCTGCTTCGCCAGAAGGTAAAGGCCGTTTTTGGTTTTAGCGAATTCCCTGGCAGCGGCCGGGTTCATGGCGGATGTGATGGATATAAAGAACAGGATATCTCATATAGTGGTGTTTCTTTTCGTCTTTCATTGAAATTTATGTAACACTCCTTGTTGAAGTATTGAATGTAAGGTATTTAAAAAGATTGGGGAGGATCGAGCCTGTCGAAGGCATATCATGAAAGGCAATTGGGGTGCTTCACCAAAGCATTAACTCTATATACTCAAGTATTAACATAAAATTTACTCATGAGCGGTTAAATAAGCATGCATGACTTGGAATGTTGTGAACTGTAACGTTGGTTGGGAAAATTGATGGCAACCTCAACGACTGGTTACAGCGGATAAATGTCGGTGTTAGGGGCCGTTATCTTATCGCTAGCCGCTGTAGCCTTACCAGGCTTCCTCCAATATATGAGGCAATCGTGTGATGACTGCATTTATCTACCCGTCATCAACCCATAAGTTCTCTTGTTGACGGTAGCTGGAGGTGTACATCGCGCTGTGCAACTTTCTTTGCAACCGTTTCTTGCTGTTTTGTACTTTTACTGGCCTTCGAACCAGCTCGAATCTTTGTCTCCCCTTGACCCAATACAGCCCAACCAAACTCATTTAGCCCCTCGTGGCACCCCGCTACCACCATGTTGAAAATATGGTCGATGGTACTTGAAACCCCCCTCGGATCGTGGGAAAACGTGCGGCTTGCTGACGCGCACCGATAGAAAAAAGAGCAAAAGGAGGCCGAGAATGCTGAGGGCCAGGCAGCCGGCGGGAAGAAGAAGAAGGTCACAGCAGCCCAGCTGCGGGTACAGAAGGGTAAGCATTGCCCATCGTGTGACACCCCAAGGGTGAATATACGGACTCTTGGCCGATACTGACTGCTGTTCTGCTCGTCTCCTTAGATCTATCGGAGCTTTCTCTCGGCTCGACAATGTCGACTGACTTTCCCGAACCCGACGACATCCTCAACTTCGTGCTGACCATCGAGCCCGACGAGGGAATGTACCGCCAGGCCAGATTCACGTTCGATTTCAACATCAACCAAAACTTCCCCCACGATCCGCCCAAGGTCCGCTGCCGAGAAAAGATCTACCACCCCAACATCGACGTGGAGGGCAAGGTCTGCCTGAACATCCTGCGAGAGGACTGGAAGCCCGTGCTGAACCTGAATGCCGTCATCGTGGGTTTACAAGTATGCCGCCCCTCTTCTTCATATCTCCCCGCCAATCCATTCCATGCGGTATCCGTTACATTCCGTGCTAACATCTAGGGTTGCAGTTTTTATTCCTGGAGCCGAACGCGTCCGACCCCCTGAACAAGGAGGCTGCCGAGGATCTGAGGAACAACCGAGAAGGCTTCAAGCGCAACGTGCGAACGGCAATGGGCGGTGGTACCGTTAAGGGCGAATCCTACGACCGCGTACTGAAGTAAAGCACCCAGTCAAGAAAAACAGCCTTGAACTGAACTGGCAAGATGTCATTCGCCAGAGCACACACGAGGACGGGCCCGAGGCATCAAGGATTGTACAAAGTTTCCCAGGCGGGCGCTCGGCGAGGGGAGGGGGCAATGACAAACGATTTCACGAAATTCATACACCATAGAGGGGCGGGAGAGCATTTTCTTCCGGCGTCTAGTCCTTTTTTTCTTCTTTATACTTATATATCTTCGGCGGTCTTTTCACCTACAGCAAGAGGGGGGCCAGAGGGGTAGCTAGAATACCTTAGTTTGATATATTTGCAACAGACTACCATCTTGGGCCGACTGTCCCGGTGTTCGGGGCTATATGATGCATGATCCAGGTGTACGTTATGATTCTATTCACGTGTTGGTTCTTTCGTAAGGTGAGTCCGTTTTTGTCATGTTTAACCCATTTTGGAGTCTGTCGTGAACGAAGAAACTGTTGATACTCAAAATATTTCACTGATGATCACCATCGTACGGTCGTGCCGGACGAACACGTGAAATATCTCCTATTTCAGTTTCATTGGAATATCAATTTGATTATTCCAACGAGATCTCGAGATTACCAAGAAAATCCGCAATATTTATCAGCATTGGCAGCGTACACGCAGATGAACATGATGCTACAGGGTAGCTCACGCAAAGGCGGAAGTCGGGATCCCTTTGGCACGGCAATTACGTGCAACCGGGTTCAGGTCGATCATCAAAATACATGGGTCAAAGGGCTCCTAACCTGCCTCGCCTGCATGATGTTTCGGCGGTATGGCGGTCGTCATTGTCAATGGCACTCCTGATATGCACGGTTTTCCAAACACGGGCGCAGACGACAACTCGTCTTATTCTTGGAACTGGCCGGCCAGTGTAAGCCATTATGGTATCTAATGTAGCCCCGCGGCCACTGAATGGCGGTGTTGACGGCGCTGGAATGAGCACTCGCCGCTGCCGAGGGACCCTGACGACGGGCTGCAGGGTGCCCGTACAGTAATGCGTGCTCGCCGTGTGGTGCCCCCCCATATTGATGTCTGCAGGTGGCCTGTGCTTCCAATTGGAGTCACAGTGGGCTGGGCTCTGGCTCTCCGTGGACCGGAGAGCAGGCTAAGGTACACTACGGCGGTTCCCTAAGCTTAAGATGCAGGTTGTGCATATTCCAGCCAGGAACGACATCAACCGGTGAGGGTGCTTCCTGGCCAGCTGTACTGCATGTATTCAGAGGGCATGGAAGAGCGTTGGGGAGCATGAAACGGCCGCAGAGAACTGGCTTTTGTGGCTTCACTTCTTTGAGTTTCTGGTCGCATCTAAACTCTGTTCTATTCGTTGGCCGCTACCCCCCCAACCCGTAACGCGAGGTCACTTCCCCGCAGTCCGGTGCGGTTGGGTGCAGGCGATGATTTGCTCAGAGTCCTACCCTCTCCGTGGCCGACGGTAGAAACATCTGGCCGTCTCTCGCATGAGGCATCCGCACTTCTCATGCGCCTAAAATGAAGGGCCCTGGGTAGCAAGAGTCACATCGACGAGTGGTGCCAGCAAGCTGCCCGCTGGGACTCCGCATTTCGGGGGTCGAGGCAGTTGCTTACGCCTCCTGCGCTTGCCGCCGTAGGTGCGGCCGTTGTCGGAGCCCAAAGTAGGTGTGAAGCAGGGAAAAATCAGGGCCCCGGCACCGGCCACTGGTCTAACTTTCACACCACCGATTCTTCATCCGCTAAATCTAAATATCTTCTCTCCAAGTTTTTTCCCTTTTGCGCCTTCAATTCTTCATCATCACCCTCTCCACATCCTCCACAATGGCCTCCCGCAGCTTCTCCAAGTCTATGCGCTCGCCGCTGGCCCGCCAGCTGGCTGCTCCTCGCGTCCAGCAGCGCACCTTCACTGTTGCCCGCAACCTCATCCGCGCTGGCGCTGCCCGCGCTGCCCCCGTTACCGCCCCTGCCCAGCAGCAGGTCCGCGGAGTCAAGACCATTGACTTCGCTGGCGTCAAGGAGGACGTTTACGGTATACTGAAATGCAATTGACAAGAACTATGAGCAATTGGCTGACTATGGGTGTCTTATATAGAGCGTGCCGACTGGCCCCAGGAGAAGCTCTTGGTGAGTCAATTTGACAAGTATCAAGTTTTCTGAGCTCTGCTAACCATCGTACCCCTCCAGGATTACTTCAAGAATGACACCCTTGCCCTCATCGGCTACGGTTCCCAGGGCCACGGCCAGGGTCTGAACCTCCGTGACAACGGCCTCAACGTCATCATCGGTGTGCGAAAGAACGGCAAGTCCTGGAAGGACGCCGAGCAGGATGGCTGGGTCGCCGGAAAGAACCTCTTCGATGTCGATGAGGCCATCTCCCGCGGTACCATCATCATGAACCTCCTCTCCGATGCCGCCCAGTCTGAGACTTGGCCCGCCATCAAGCCCCAGCTCGTCGAGGGCAAGGTACGTAACTGCCCAACGGGCAAGCAATTGCTCGCCTGATACAAGCCCAAAGCTGACCAAAGCGAAACCAGACCCTCTACTTCTCTCACGGTTTCTCCCCCGTGTTCAAGAAGGACACCAAGGTCGATGTTCCCTCCAACATTGACGTTATCCTGTGCGCCCCCAAGGGCTCTGGCCGCACTGTCCGATCTCTCTTCCGTGAGGGCCGTGGTATCAACTCCTCCTTCGCCGTCTACCAGGACGTCACTGGCCAGGCCAAGGAGAAGGCTATTGCCCTTGGTGTTGCCATTGGCTCTGGCTACCTCTACGAGACCACCTTCGAGAAGGAGGTCTACTCCGACCTCTACGGTGAGCGTGGCTGCCTCATGGGTGGTATCCACGGTATGTTCCTCGCCCAGTACGAGGTTCTCCGTGAGCAGGGCCACAGCCCCAGCGAGGCCTTCAACGAGACCGTCGAGGAGGCCACCCAGAGCTTGTACCCCCTGATTGGTGCCAACGGCATGGACTGGATGTTCGACGCCTGCTCCACCACCGCCCGCCGTGGTGCCATTGACTGGACCCCTCGCTTCAAGGATGCCCTGAAGCCCGTCTTCAACGACCTCTACGCCTCCGTCAAGGACGGTTCCGAGACCCGCCGCTCTCTCCAGTACAACAGCCAGCCTGACTACCGTGAGAAGTACGAGGCTGAGCTGGACGAGATCCGCAACCTGGAGATCTGGAAGGCCGGAAAGGCTGTCCGGTAAGTTGCATTCTACCTTGCCAGACTCTAATGATACATGCTAACATCTTATCTCACAGCTCTCTCCGACCCGAGAACCAAAAATAAGCGACGCGCGCGAGGGGTTGGTTTTGTTGTATAGTGAGAGGGTCCTCTAAAGCGTTTATACCGACGGGAAGGATTCATGTGCAAAAAAGGGTTTGAATGAGAATCAAAAATATGATGAAAAATGATCAAACATATATGAATGGAAGCTTTTGCTTTACCAATGTGAATCCCATGGGCATGGGTGTATTTTTTTCCTTTCCGCGATCGCTTCCTAAGAACTAACCTATGGCCTCACTTAGCCTCTCGGCGTCAACTCAGTGAGGCTACCGTGTCGCGCACAAATTCTGATACGGACATGAAGCCCGTCTGAGTCAGTCGCATGGCGATCCAGCAGCTCGGGTAGCGGTCTCGGCTCCTGCGTGGAGCACCGGCGGGTCCGGCGATGAGATTCCATCTCATTCCTTCCGGTATCGTTGCCTAACACGCTGCCTGCCCTTTATAGACCTGGGGAGACAGATGGTGCAGTAGCATCTACTGCGATTTGAATTTATTAATTCTTTTTCGTTCCTGAATCATAGAGCAGCAATATATTTTTACAAGAAAAAAACATGGCTGATCTGTCGACGACGCTCCCCCTCACCCGCAACTCGGTGGTGGCAGCCCACAAGGTCGTCAAACCCCACATCCACAAGACGCCCGTGCTCACCAACCGGACGTTGACGGAGCTGGCGTCGACGCCGCGCGACCTGCAAGGTACAAAGTGGGAGGGCCGCGAGCCCGCGAAGCCCGTCCTGAGGCTCTGGTTCAAGTGCGAGAACCTGCAGCGCATCGGCGCGTTCAAGGCCCGCGGCGCCTTCCACGCCATTGAGCGGCTCAAGCTGGAGCCGGGATGGCTCGAGGGCGGTGGCAAGGAGAAGGGTGTTGTCACTCATAGCTCTGGTAAGGGTTTCCTTCTGTCCTTTTTGATACAACTGCTCTGAGAGGAAGCCCGATAAATGAGCCTGGCAGTCGCTAACACAAGACGTAGGGAACCACGCCCAGGCCCTCGCTCTGGCCGCCAAGGAGAGCGGCATCAAGGCCCACATCGTGATGCCCGAGATCTCCAACCCGCTCAAGATTGCCGCGACGAGGGGCTACGGCGCCAACGTCATCTTCAGCGGGAGCACCAGCGTGGAGCGCGAGGCCGTGGCGGACAGGGTCATCGCCGAGACTGGGGCGCGGCTGGTGCCTCCCTACGACCACCCGGACATCATGCTCGGCCAGGGGACCTTGGGTCTGGAGCTGCAGCAGCAGGTGCGGGACCTGATTGCCGACGAGGCCCAGCACAGCTTCCGCGCCCCGAAGACGATATCTTCTAGGAGCGGTCGGGAGGACAAGGGCTTGGATGCCATCATCACCCCTTGCGGTGGAGGGGGCATGCTCTCCGGGGTGGCGTTGAGCTGCGAGGGCACGGGCATCAAGGTCTTTGGCGCCGAGCCGTCGTTCCAGGGCGCGGATGATGGGAAGCGCGGGTATGAGTCTGGCACCAGGGTCACGGCGGTGTCGAGTCTGACCATAGCTGATGGCCTGCGCACGCCTGTGGGGGTGCACCCGTGGAAGGTCATCTACGAGCGGCGGCTTGTAAGCGGTTTCTACAGCGTGACGGATGATGAGATCAAGGCGGCGATGAAGCTGGTCTTTGAGAGGTTCAAGCTTGTCGTCGAGCCGAGTGCATGTGTTGGATTGGCAGTGGCCCTCTTTGATGAGGACTTCCGGTCCATGGTAGAGCGAGAGGGCGGCGAGGCTGGCTGGGATCTCGGCATTGTCTTCAGTGGTGGGAATGTTGGTCTTGGTGCGGTTGGGAAACTATTTGAAGCCTGATTGATCTTTTTGCACTAGTCTATTGGAACAGAACGTAGATACATTACATATAAGAAGAGCCTGACATAAAAAAAAGATCATGAATGATAGCAAGAAGTCCTTTCTGGCATCGAAGTTCAAAAAGCAAAAGGAAACTCCCCCGGACAGGATTGAACTGTCGATCTTCCGATTACGTTACTTGGTAACAGTCGGACGCCTTAGCCAGCTGGGCCACAGGGGATGTGGTTCTTCAGGGACAATTCCCCAAGCTGGATGTGACGACCGGGAAGAGTATTGGGATAGATATACCCGGCCAGAAATTTCAAGCAATCCAAATTGACTCACTCAAACGGTTCCTCAATTGATGTCCGGATTCATCGCCGACCGCGGGGCAGTTGTTGCCCCACCTTACCGAGCTTCGAGGTTCTGCCACTCACATCAACTAGAAGTGAAAAGCTCATATTCACATGCACTGAGCTCTTCATTTATATTTCTGCGCTGCCCGAGCTGTGATTCTACACTGTGTTTCTTTCCCTTGTCATCTGAAAAGCCGTCTGTTTAAAACCATGTCTCTCACCAACGCCTCCCCAGAGGCTGCGGCCAGCTCTGCAAAGACCGCGTCCTTCACCCTGGCCACACTCCCTGCCTCGGCCCGTAATGCTGCTCTCGAGACCATCCATGCTGCCCTGTCAGAGGCCAGGGACGATATTCTAGCCGCCAATGCCAAGGATCTCGAGGCGGCGCGCAAGGCAGCCGCCGATGGCTCGCTGAGCCAGGCTCTCGTGTCTCGTCTGGACCTTGGCAAGAAGGGTAAATGGGAGGACATGCTCAAGGGGATTCTCGATGTGAAGGGACTAGACGACCCCAGTAAGTACTAGACGTGAAGGAGTTCGCATGTCTTCACTGTACATGAATATTGACAACAATCGTAGTCGGACAAGTGCAGATGCGATCCCAGCTGGCAGATGGCCTCACCATGGAGCGCGTATCCTGCCCCATTGGAGTTTTGCTCATCATCTTCGAGGCTCGCCCCGAGGTCATCGCCAACATCGCCAGTCTCGCCATCAAGTCAGGAAACTCCGCCATCCTCAAGGGCGGCAAGGAGTCAACCGAGTCCTTCGTGGCCATATCAAAGGTCATCTCCGCCGCCCTCGAGAAGACCGAGGTCCCCAACGGCGCCATCCAGCTCGTCACCACCCGGGACGCCATCTCCCAGCTGCTCGACCAGGACCGCTACATCGACCTCGTCATCCCCAGGGGCGGCAACGAGCTCGTCCGCTACATCAAGGGAGCGACAAAGATCCCCGTGCTCGGCCACGCCGACGGCATCTGCAGCATCTACCTCACCGCGACCGCCGACAAGGACAAGGCCGTCACCGGCGTCGTGGACTCCAAGACCAGCTACCCGGCCGCCTGCAACAGCGTCGAGACGCTCCTCGTCCAGGACGCGGCGCTCCCCACCATCCTCCCCGGCATCGCCTCGGCGCTCGCCGAGAAGGGCGTCTCCCTGCGCTGCGACCCCGCCAGCAAGGCTGCCCTCGCATCTCTTTCTCTCCCCAACATCCAGGACGCCGTTCCTGAGGACTACGACACTGAGCACCTGTCGCCCACCCTCTCCGTCAAGACTGTTCCTTCGATAGACGAGGCCATTTCTCACATCAACACCCACGGCTCTCACCATACCGACGCCATCTTCACCTCCGACAAGGCCGAGGCTGAGCGTTTCATGAACGAAGTCGACTCTGCTGGTGTCTACTGGAACGCATCGACCCGCCTGGCCGATGGCATGAGGTATGGCTTCGGAACCGAGGTTGGAATCAGCACGAACAAGATCCACTCTCGAGGTCCCGTGGGACTCGAGGGCCTCACCATTTACAAGTACAAGATCAGGGGAGACTACCAGCCCACAACAGGATACGGTGAAGGCGAAGGAAAGATTCCCTGGACACATGCCAGATTACCTCTCTAAATGACTAGATAAAAAAAATGAATGAAAGAATCAGGACAAAGGATTTCAACAAAGTGAAACGATTTAGGTAGGCATCAGAGTGGAATGTGCTTGTCTGGCCTATCAATGGCATGACCAAAAGTCATATTGTATCATACATATTCTTTGCCTCATCTTGATGTGCTAGCGGACCCTCAAATAATGCCACACAACTTCAACAGTGAGAAATATAAACCCAAAACAGAAAGCAGCCATTTAAGCTAGATAGCGAATACCAAACCACCAGCGCCTTTAGTTACTCCCTTGAAAAATTTTCATGGCCTTCTCGTTAAGCGTTGATGTCGTACTTCTTGATAAGCTCTGCTAATCTGTTACCCTCAGCCTTGAAATCCAGAGCAATGGCTTCGGAGGCTTGGTGACGGATCCTGCGTTGATGCTTGTTAGTAAACCGTTGGTCACGCTGGAGCGATTATTATTTTTGTTGCGGAATATACTGACCTGGGAACATCTTGGTAAGTGTCCTTCTTTGCTCGGCACTTGAAGGTAAACTTCTTGTAGACAATTCCTGAGAAAGCTGCGTCGAATGCTTCCTGTTCTCCATTCTCCCTGAGCTCCATCAGGTCGTTCGCGCTCATTCCGAAGACCACCCTCCCAACTTCGTCGAACACGCTGATCCATTGCTGACTAGAGTGATCAGCGACGCTGAGCGACATGATGTAGCGATACTCTGGCTTATCGAAAGACTTCTGGTCCATCTCGCAGAACCAAGTGCCATCTGTGTTTTGGACAATCTTCTTTCTGCAGTTGGGGCAGGAGGCGTAAGCGAATGTCTCTGGCTTGCAGTAGAGAATCGAGGCCTTGAGTGAATAGTAAACAGGTGCGCCGTCATCTGACAGCATATTGATATCCAGAGCATTCACTTCGGCAATTGTCTTGACTGGGTTTGATCGACCTGAGGCGGCCCCCATGCCTGCATTTCGGTGGCTTTGGAAGTTACCGCCCCTGCCTGCTGATTCATACCAGCCTTGCAGCCTATGAGCGTCAGGAATGTCGGGATGAACAGACATGGTACCGGACGATAGGAGACTGAGACTCTTTCCGTCAAAATCGGAAACCTTGGCACCCTTGAAAGCAACGACTGATTCAGGCTGGACTTCAAAATTCTCCGCAGTCTTGCCCCAGACTGTGAGCCTGACAGAAAATCCAGTCTCGTCAACCAGAGTAAGATCGCGCTTCGAGAAACTTCTGCCGTCTTTGGCATTAATTGGAGTAGTATCGCCGACCTCTTTCAGAACGGCGATGATATCCACAGTGTTGTCCTTTTCAACGCTCTGCAGTTGCTCAATTGTGCAGAAGTTGAATTTGACCTGGGGCACGCTCGACTGATCTTCGGCCTTGACGATGGTGGTTTCCTGCATGAAGGTGAGCTCGAACTCGTGAGGGAGGTTGTTGAACTGCTTCTTGGCAGTGTTCGTCTTGCAAGGGCTCGAGATGTAATAGACAGAGCCTTCCTGTAGCGTGTCGTAGAATTGATCCACCTGGTCGTTGAAACCAGTAGCCTTGATCTCGCCAGTCTCGTCAAGCAGGTGGACGCTGAAGAGTTTTCCCTCAGAATTGGCCTTGTGCCACCTCTTGATCTCGGACTTGTAGGTAACTCTCGCCCGAATCTTCCACTTATTGAGAACGAATGAAAGACTCTCGATGGGATAGATGGGATCGCCCGGGGTCGCGGCAGGACGGGTTGGCATCATCTGCTTGGGCTGTGTTGTGGGTTCTTGCTTGACGCCGTAGAAATCATTGCCCTTGATCGTCGTCTCTGCTGGGGCTGTCGTGGTCCTGACTTGTTCAATGCTGACGGGAGCTCCAACCTTGCCATCTGGGATACCCATAGATTCAACCACCTCCATACTGAGGATGATCATGATACTAAAGCATTTAAATTAGCACTCTGGTCTTGGTTCGGTCACGATAAGAGTTAAGTGCGCAAAAACGTACAGCTTTTCCTTCAAATTCTGTGTAGTATACTCCTTGATTCGAGCGAAACTCTTGACTTGGAGCTGTCCCTCGTGAATGACGTGATTTGACTGGGTGGCTAAAATGGCTTGAACGAAGTGGCGGCTGTCACTCAGCACAAGTCGATATCTCTCTTGACCGCCCTGGGCGCCGGATGCCATGGGCTTGATTTGTAGGCATTGCAGGATCGGTACGGGGTATTCGCGGGCAGCTTTGTCTTTGTCGGTAAAGATAGCCCTGAGTAGGCCGGTCAGCTCACGTTCTGAAAGTAGGTGGATGAATGGAAACAGGAGTCACGCACTCGAGAGCTCCTGCGGAGATCGTATCGTTTGAGGCAGCCATTTTGAGTCGGCTGTATGAAAAGCACCTATTAATGAGTGGACAGACACGTATCCTAGGTAGCTTGGAGTCAGTTGGGAGGTATTGACAAAATCAAGAAGGAACTGAAGAAAATATGGAGGGGTTCTGGGAGGCAGGACTGAAGGAATATTCACGGCGCTGAAGGAGACGCGTTCACCGCGTTTAGTGGATTTCTGGACGCGCTGCGGGGTTGAGTCTTAGGTAAGCATTCAGCTCTACAGTGCCAAGTGGGTGACATTAGAAATTGAGACACTTAAACATTACGCTGCTTATTCTCAAGTGCGCAACCGGTATTATCAGACTATTGAGTCCTAATAATATACAATACTGTAGTTATTCTTCCTTTCTTCTATTTTTTATACTACTAAAATTCTCTATTTTCTGCAGTAAGTAGTCGATTAATAACCAACTCTCCCATTAGGTGTCTCATTTCTCCTGTCACCCACTTGAGTGCTCCCGGTCCACCACTAACTTCAGTTTTCTCTTCACCTCGCAACAAGTAGTCGATCTTGAGAAAGCAAAAGTGGATATTCCCGGAAAGATAAGGCGGCGCCTCTGACCAGCTTGGCTTGCTGTCGACAGGTGTAGACTGGGATTAAGATTATAGATTAGTTCCATGTTACTCTGTAGCGCCTGTGGCCACTGGAGCAAGACCGGAGGAGAGTATACTGTCTCGTTGGTTGGCAACACCCATCTTTGCCCAAACCATTCAATAAGGAGCAACAAAGTGCATTTCTCTAGATGGCTAAAGAGGCAAAGAATGCATTGTGCCTTGCCAGAGATCTAATTATTAAGGTATGATAGCAATTTGTTTTTAACCATGCACAATATTGTAAAGCTGAACCCTGCTGCACTACGCTCTTTGGGAAATGCCAGGTATACCGTTGATAAGCTTATTGGAGATATGGTTTGAGATGAAAATGATGTTCTCTTTCGCTTTTGACCGCTGACAAAGGATCACCAAGTAAATAATGCAACGATTTGAGGCTGATTTGAGGGGAGAGATGGAGCGCAGGTTTATCAACACCCAAGCCGTTGGGTCATAAGTATTCATGGCACTCACTAAACAGTTGAAGTTTCCCTGAGATGAATGCTCAGTATCAAGAGACTAGCAGAACAGAGTATGAGCAACCCAAAAAGCGAGATACTTGGATCCATGGCAGACTGAGATGGGCAAACCCGAATCCTCTGGACACCACTATGCTCTGCCAAGCTCACGAGATAGTGCAGACTATCTTACCCGAATTCTTCGCCTCCTCCATGTACTTGTGCGCCTCCTGAATCTCCTCCCAAGGCAGAACCTTGTCAACAATTATCTTCAGCTCCCCACTAACGAACTGTGGGTTGTACGTCTCCAGCCTGTCCCGCAGTTTGCCCTGGTACTCTTCATCCCGGCTCCTGAGCGTGCTGCCCGTGATCTGGATGCGCTTGTAAAGGATCTGAGAAATGTCGGCGTCCTTGACCTTGCCTCCGCTCAGAGTGCCTAGGAGGACTATCCGAGCGTCCCGTGCAGACACGTCCAAGTTGTACTGGAAGTAGTTGGCGCCGACGAAATCGACGATGAAGTCCACGCCCTTGCCGCCCGTCTTCTCCTTGATCTCGCTGGCCCAGTCCTGCGTCTTGTAGTTGAAAGCCGCCGTGGCGCCTAGCTTGGAGGTGATGAAGTCGCACTTCTCCTGCGATCCCGCCGTGGCATAGACGGCTGAGGCGCCAGCCGCGTGGGACAGCTGGATCCCGGCAATCGAGACGCCCGATGCGCCTGCGTGCCAGAGGATGGACTTGCCCTTGGCAAAGCCCAGGACAAAGTGCAATGCCTGGGTCGCAGTGATCCATGCCTCGGGGACGGCGGCAGCTTGCTGAAAGCTCAATTCCTTGGGTTTGTGGAGGAGCATCTTGCTGCTGACTGCGATGTACTCGGCATATGCGCCGCCATATGCAAGGCCGAACACCTCATCGCCCTTCTTGAAGGGGCCATGGTCACCTGGCCCGAAGGACTCGATGGTGCCGCTGAACTCGACACCCAAGGTAGCAGGCGCCTGAGGGGGTAGCCTGCATCATAGTTTAGTTTAGATATCTGTCCGGTGGGACAGTCGGGCTGGGTGGGGAGGTACGGGTAGAAGCCGCGGCGTTGGATAATGTCCATGCGGTTGATGCCAAACGCCTTGATCTTCACAATAGCCTGGCCATCTCCTGCCGTGGGCTTTGGGTACTCGGGATTGATGAATAGAGCGTCAACCTCACCCTTGCCTCCTTTGATATCTTGAGAGGGTAGAAAGTTAGTGCTGCTATATGCTACAGCCCTCGAAAGGCAATCCAATGAATCGTATCTATCTTACCAACTGCTTTCATCGTGGATGCCATTATGAGGGTTTTGTGCTGCCTTTCCTAACGGAATGAATGCTTACGGAGGGATGTGTAGATGTTGGGGTTGCAAACTGGATATTCCCGGTTTTGTAATGGCTACTCCTCACTTGAGGCCACCCACTTCAATAACGTCAACGTGAGTAAATAGCTGCATAATGAATTAGTAATCTGATTGCACGCATTTGGCGCAAGCTTATTTCATCACATGTCAATCCAGAGGGATTTTGACGTTCTTGAAAAAGATTCAAAGAATGAGTCGGAGCAAATGTACAAGAGCACAGGAA